AGTCACCTGGAGTTATAGGTGGAAATAGATGAAACATAACACCAGTGACATTCTAAAAGCAGTTCTAAAATGGATTTTCTGAAAAATATTCCTCATGCATAGAATATATAACCATATAACCATGCGAGATTATACTAAAGAAAACAGCTCTTTAATTTGAAATGTGATGGACAAAGGAAGACAAACAAATCAATGCATTTCCCACTTTCTTTCAGACAGATTTTCCTGGCAGGCATCTCATACCCCAATCATACCGGAAGGCAGAAAGTGTTTGGCTGGAGCATACGGAGAGCTTCCTACCGGACCCTTTTCATGTCCAAATTGCTGCTGAGTGATTTGCAGCACGTTTGCTCCCTAATGATGCTGCAGTCAATTTATTTTTCAAGGCAACCTCTTCTGAATTTCAGGTCCTGATCCAGGATCATTTTAATGAGAGGGGGAAAAAAAAAAAAGTCTGACCAAAGTCTAAAAAGTTAGACTGAAAGAAAACTTAATGAAGAAATGTACAGTCTTATCATGTTGGGAAGGTGCTAACTCTCTTTTGTGCTTGTGCTTTTCAGGCTAGCATCTTTTACACAGAAATATTGTCCCATAAATGAAGCAATCTTGCACTCTAGATACAAAAAGTAAAAGCTGGGACAATTTATATGTGACTTCAGTACATATGAGAAATGTTAAAATGATATTGGTGCCCCCTTATTTCTTTTTTTTTTTTTTTCCATCACGTCCTGCTTTTCTTTAGCAGAGATTCTTGCTTTCCCAGCCCAGAAAAGCCACTTACTGAGGAATTAACAACACTAATTTAAGCAGGCAGATGTGAACGTTAGGTGCAGCACCTGTTATGGGCCACATCTTCTCACTGCTGTGCTCAATGCATGCCTGAAAGTTAAATTTCCAATAGCAACAACTGGGTGATGGTTTTCAGAGCGAAGATGTACACCTGCTGGTTTAAGACATCGCCATGCCCAGCCAGGATGCATCCACACATTTCCTTTGCCCCACAGCCAAGGAATCCTCACCCAAAGCTTTCTGCTTGGCCAGCAGGAGGATTTTTCCTCTGGCTGAGAACTATAGTCCCTTCCTCCAGGTTGTCCAGGAACACAGCTGGGCACGCATCCTGCGCACACACAAGTGATTCCCATTATTTAACCCCAAGCCACAACCTTATATAGGGACCTGAGACACTACCAAAAGCCTATATATATATATGTATTTATATATGGACAGGGAGAAAATTAACTGATTGAATTAAATACTGAAACTCTGATAAAGGTAGAAGAAAAGTTATGGAAGAACTCCAACCCATAAATTTTCATGAACAATCAGGAGTGCATATAAATGAAATGATTTAGCCATGCAAAGTATATACATGTACATTCAAATAATCAGGACATGACATCTCAGGAGCTGCATGTGATGCTAAAACCTTTGGTGTATGCAAATTCTATTATTCTGAGACACAGAAGACTGAAAAAATGCAAATGCCATTTCTCTTGTACTAAGCTATTCTTAATGTGGCCACGGAAAAAAAATATTGCCTGATCTGCTGAATGTTAGATATCAAAATAAATTATTATATATTGTGTAATTGAAATGTGGCAAACTCCAGTAGATCTGTCTTTCTTATTGGTTTATTTTAAGAGATGCATTACAGGATTAAACCATAATTGCTGAGATTATGTGAATTCTAATTTTAGACTTAATTTAGTTAATTGCCGTAGCCTAATTGGCTCAAGCTTGATTGACCTGAAAAATGCCCATTTGTTAGCTAGTAATTGTAATGCCAAATGAGCAGAGCTGTGTTAAACTCAAAATAATATTTGGGTTAGTATTCACAATATTTGCTATTTTCTTTCTGTTTTGATAAATTCTGAGTAGTTCGTGTTAAATTATGTGTTGTTTGTCATCTCTCGTTGTGTGTTTATATTCCACTTTCTCCCACTTCTTTGTATTTTAAATGAGGGGAGTTTATTCTAAAGTGCGCCGTTTCAGGAGAAATCACAGACTGATGTTTTTGGTGCAAACCGCCCACTTTTCAATCAGCTCTGCCAGAAGATTACAGAACGCTTTGTTCCAGTGAACTGCTGCCTTTCAGTCTTCCCTCAGCCCCTTCCCAAGCGAGCAGTGAGAACAAGCTCTGTACCCGCACCCCTTCAGATTTACCTGCACTATTTTGGCTGCAGAAACAAGGGAATGTGTTGAGAAGTGATGCAGAGGAGTCAATCATCCTACAAAGAGGACTCGGCCCTGGAGGTGGGCGAAGTGCCCTGCCTGACCCCAAAAGGAGGATTTTTGGCTAACAAGATGTGCCGTGGGAGAGGTGGCACCGACAGTAGTGCCTGGCGGATCTGCCAACCCTAACTGCAACATCTGGGGAAAATGCTCAATATTGAGTGGTGGTGGTATTTAATTTCGGATCTAACATGCTTTGGGAGTTGCCTCCTTTCCTGCTGGTTGTTTTGGGTCGTTTTTCCAGGTACTTATTTTAAGGGATGTGACAGAAACTGGAAAAACTCGTGGCACTGACACAGTGGGTCCTGAGTTTAGACGTGGCTGGTTTGTCTCTCACTACCCTGACTTCAGAGCATTATTCCTCTTTCACATTTAGCCCTGTTTGCTTGAAAGCCCTGCTGTAACGGGCTGGGATGATGGGCTGGACACGCTGCCCCCTGGCACTGCCTGCCTTCTCCGGGCACAGCCAGCAGGGTGCCTTCCTTTTACCCCTCCCTACCAGCCCCAGGCACCAAGCGACACCGCGCCCGCTGCAGCCACAGGCCAGCCTCACTCTGCTGCTGCCGTATAACTAAAATAACCCAGATGGGATGCGAGGGGACAGTGCTCGGGGAGCAGCAGCAGCAGCAGCAGCAGCCAGCACCCCGCTAGGTGGCACCGCAGCCCCGCGGCTCGCGGCCGGGTGCGGGATGCTGCGGGTGCCGCTCCTCCACCCCACGGCACCGCCCGCGACATTTCCACCTGGGAAAGCCGTGGAGGAAGCCCAGAAAACAAGTTTCAAGCTGGTACCTCTCCCACAGTGGGGCTGGGTGTCCCTGCACCATCAACAGGAGCAGGGAGACAGGGAACAGCGGCTGGTTTTTTGCTGAGCTGACCTCACGGGGCTGGAAGGAGCATCGCCCCTCGCCCACCTGAGGTTTGAGGATGGGTCGTCTAAAAATATGCTTAAATGAACCAGCTGATCTGAATCCCCTGTCAGCAGTAGTTATTTGTAATTTCTCTATGAGCATGCATAAGTGTTCAGTGGAAACTATATGTTATAGAGCAATGGTTTTCAACTTTTTTACATTTTTTTTCCCCCCACCTCATGAAGCTGCAGATGGCCATGATTACAGCCCACTGGCATGCTTTTTGTAAGCATTTTTTTTTTTTTTGAAAGCTCATACACATCGGTCTGCCTTGCTGCATGGCCTGAAGGTGAGCAGTAAGCCCTTCGTTATCAAATTATCACGACATGGCAAGGGCCAGGGCAGGGGCCCCAGCGAAGCTGTGGGTGCAGGAGGTACAGCCGGCTCTGAGCAGGTCGGAAAGAAGCCGGACCCTTGGCTTGGCACAGGGGCTTGGTATAAGCCTATATGCATACATCTATGTGTAAAATAGGGTTATAACACCCATATATATATGTAAAATGTGTTGTAACACTCATGCTCCAGGGCATAAGCTATCCGCTGTCTTGCATTAGGTAGAAACTCGATCTCCTAAGTGTTTCTCAGGTCTCTGGAGCATCTGGTTCGAGCTGCTCCCAGGGAGAGCGCACTGGATGACACCGACCTGCCATGGGAATGTGAAAATTACACACAGTGCAGTGAAAAAAGTGGTTCAGCCATAAGAATGATAGTAAAAATGCAAAGATTTAGTGATACAGATGTTCTTTCACAGCTAAATTTGCAGTCCCAGCATACAGATCATGGATTAAGAACTGGAAATGATGTTATTTGTATGAGATGCCACTTGAAGTATTTTATTTCCTTACCACAAATCCGTAGCCATTTACATTTCCTTACATATTGCTATAGCCACTGATAAAGCCATTTTTCCTGTATGTCTCAGGAATGGTCTGAAATTTCTAAAAGATGGAGGTAATCTACAGCAAGAGAATATATAGAAGTAGAATTAAAAATATTTTCTTTCTTTCATCAACTGATGTTTTCTATAAAAGATGAACAATTTTAGGTGATTTTCTTCTCACTGTTTCAACTTTGGTGGGAAAAGCATAACCCCAAAGTCTGCTTTTACTGGAGAATGAGAAGTGGAGAAGGAAAGTTTCTATAGGATGTCATGCATATGTCAAAAATAATAATAATAATAATAATAATAATAATAATAAAGTGAAAATCAAGCTATGCACATTGGAAATCATTTCGAATGATTCAAGTAGAATCCGTTTGGCTGCAGTATCCCACCAGCACTGCGCAGGTGCATGGTTTGATGTTGAGCAAAGCAGAGTGCAAGTTTTACTTTAAGTTTAATGCCAGCAGTACCAGAAGGAAAAGTCCTTTTCTCCTCTTCTAACCCAGGCTGTGGGCACCAGACCAAGCAGAAAGCCCAGCTGCCACACCGAATTACTCGGTTATTTTGCTGCGGCTCTGCCTGCGGGCCAGCAAGGGCGTGAGCATCCTGAATTTCCTCATCATGGCGAGTTTAGTTTGAGTTAAGGAGTTTGATTTTGGGAACACGTGTACATACAGGACCAGCTGTGGTTTCAGGGTGTTCACAATGGGAAATTTCAATTTCCGAGTGACAATATTTTTTATTTTGTACTGAAATGTAGGAGAGCGCGTCGATGGCTTATTGCAAGTGCATTTCTTTGCTGGAAGTCGGCTCTTGCCGAGGGGGCGGCTGGGTTTTGCTACCATGCCACAGCCCCACAGACCCCACACGGGGATGCAGCCGGGGTGGGGGCGGCTGGGGTGCGGACCTAGGGTGGGGGGCGTCCCCGTGGGGCGGGGGGGGGGGGCTCTATATAACGGGGCGGGCAGGGAGCGGGGCTCTGCGGGAGCATGCACGCCTTCGGGCCGCCTCCCCACGGCCGGGAGCTGCTGCTGGACGGGGCGGGCCGCCCGGCCGGCCTCCCCCTGCCCCTACCCCTCACCCTAAGCCTGCCCCGGCCCCGACCCTCGCCCGCCGCCCCCTGCCCGTGGCTCGGCGGCCCCGCCGCCCCCTGCCCGCCCCCGGAGAGCCCCCGACCGCCCTATTCGTACTCGGCGCTGATCGCTATGGCCATCCACAGCGCGCCCGGGCGGCGCCGCACCCTGCGCCAGATCTACCAGTTCGTGGCCGACACCTTCCCCTTCTACCAACGGAGCAAAGCCGGCTGGCAAAACTCCATCCGCCACAACCTCTCCCTCAACGACTGCTTCAAGAAAGTGCCGCGGGACGACGACGACCCGGGTAAGGCGCCCCGGAGGGGATGGGGTCGCGGCACCCCATCGGGTGCAGCCGATTTCCCCCCGTCGGGGCCTGGGTGGCGGCCGACGGGCGCGGGGGTTTTCCTCTCTCCGCAGGCAAAGGCAGCTACTGGACCCTCGACCCCAACTGCGAGAAGATGTTTGACAACGGCACCTTCAGGAGGAAGAGGAAGAGGCGCCCCGACGCCGGACCGCCCGACGGGGCGGGGGGCAGCGGCGGGGTCCCGGGGGGCTCCTCCTGCCCGGCCGGGCTGCGGGGCCCCCCCGGCGGCTTCAGCTCCAGCGGGGCCCCCTTCGGTCGTGCCGGGACCCAGGCTTGAGCTTGCCCCCCTCTCCCCCCGGCAGCGAGGTGCTCGTCGAGGAGCGTTTTTGTAGCGCGGAAATGTACATTTTGGTAGAGATATAAACTGACAGAGGCGGAATGAGGGCTGTGTGTGTGCTGGGAGCCAAGCCGGGGGGGCTGCGGGAAGCTCTGTCCCCGTCGGGGAACTGAAGCCCCACGCCCACCCCCGTGGGCTGAGGCCACCCGACCCGTCCCGTCCATTCCCCTCCCGTCCCATCCCATCCCACAGACACCTCGGAAGGGCTTTAATATCCAGCCCCAGGGGAGGTTAACCTTGGCCCCCCCACGTCCACTGCTGGCTCTCCCACCTCGTACGGGATATCCCAGCTCTGTGCCATTTGCAAAGTTCCTGAAAAGTGCAACTGTAGCGGTCCACAGCCCCACTTTTCATTTGGGCTTTTCGTTTTAAGACCTGAAATGCGAGGGTTTTGGTTGTCCACACCTGCTCACCAGTGCCCAGTGCCTGTGTCCTGCTTCCCAGTTGCTCCTTGAAGGTACTGGAGTCGGAAGAAAGCAAAGCTGAGAATTATACGATCTGCTGCCTGTCCCTCGTGGCTCTGTCTCCTCCGTCCCACTTATCCTTGCTTAGGACAAAAATACACTTTTCTCAAATAAAAAGCTAACAAAAAAAAAAAATCAGAAACCTTGTTTTTTTTCTTTCTTTCTTTTCTTTCTTTATTTCTTTTTTTTTCTTTTTCTTTCTGCTTTACAAGAGAACCATAAAGCAAGTTTGACCAAAAGACAAATAAACCAAACTGTGTAAGACCCTGAGATGTGTCGGAGGTGCAAGTCCCTGATGGAGGTGGAGAACCAGCCATGTAAGCAAAGCTTTTCCTGGCCCAATTGGTAATAAAAAGGATTCCAAAGTATTCACAAATATCCAACTTCAGTAGATGCAGAGTAAAGAGAATAGCAAACTGAGCTTGTCAGCCAAAATCTTGTGCAAGTTTATGCAGTCATAATTTTTTTTTTTTTTTTAATAACCTGCTGTTTGTAAAAACCTTCATACAGGAAAAATTACAAACCCCAAACTGCTTTTTAGGTATTTCAGACCTAACCTCCTTGCTTATGTTACTATTTTCTGGGGCTATCCAGCAAGAAGACATTTAAATTGTAACTCCTGTTTCTTTTTCAAAGGTAGAAAAATGCTCAAGGCCTCGAGCTCTCCTTTCAGCAGGGTGACCTTTAGCTACTGCATTCAGCAGAGCAAGGAACATTATTTTGGTGATTAGCTGCATTTTGGGCTGCTTTTTTCCAGGTGGCTGAGGGTTAACGGGTTATACAGGGAGGGAAGGGGAGACAGCCTTGTGTCTTTACAAAAAAAAAAAAAAAAAAAAAAACAATAAAATAAAATTATAAATTCATTTATTGGTGAAAGTAGCTGTGTGTTGCAAATAGGTGTCCCAGTTTTTAAAACCTGCCTTTGGGCCCTGAAATTTACTCCCTGAGGAACGAATTTCCTGTGAATACACACTTAAATAGGAGGGAGAGCGGCACTGGTGCCCTGTCACTAGCCAGGAGGGCTTCTCCTGATACACAGTGACAACACACGGACCTCAGAGCTGGGGAATAAGGGACAGCTCGCAGCCCCATTGCCTTCATCATCAGGATGCCAAGTTCTGGGATGCTGAGCTCAGTGTTTCCACCCTGAGCCTCTCTGCCCTGGGACAAAGTGAGGCACCGCAGGACCTGAAGCTGCAGAGAGACACCAGGAGGAGAGCTCCAGGTGGTGCAGGTGCCTCAGGCTTTCTCAGCCACAGATAAGCGTGGCCTTCGTTAGCGTGGCCTTCATTAGTGGCTTGGCTGGGTGCTGTGCTAATGGAAATCTGTGGATTGGTCAGCAGAAGGATCACGGTGCTGTGCCAGACATTTCCTTCGGGGACTGTTTAAGAAGGTGATTCGGTGTGTACATGGAGGCTACCATCTGTATTTCTCCATCTTTCTCTTGTGCTCTATTCTGTGTATTTTAGAGGAAAGGAGAGCTCCTGACAGTCTTCTCATTCTCCCCATATTCCCCTGTATGGTATGTACCACAGATGGTGCAGTCAAAGCCATACCCAACCATCCAGGTTTAGTCTGAAAGACCCCTGCAGGAGTTCCTCTAGGTTTGTGCAAGAAGATGCTTTAGGGGATACTTTAGTACTGGCAACAGATAGCAACAGCCTGGGTTCATCACTCACGGATGAAACCACAGAGATTAGGAATTAGGCTGTTTCTTTATCCAGTTAGATTTCATCACGATGAGAGAGCCACGATTTCTTTACTCGAGAGCATCACGTTGGCCGATGCAAGAACGAGAAGGGACTGTCAGGTAACCATAATTCATCTTTTCAAGAACAGGCCATGCTGTGGGGCCAAGACGCGGCTGCTGGCTCCGTGCTTGTGCACTGAACATTTCATTCTTGGACTGCGGTGCAAGCCTGGCGTCAGGTCTGAAGCCAAGAGGGTTGGGAGCACTCATCCCTGCTCCTGGCAGACAATGGGCGTCTTCACAAAGAACAGCCGTGTGGAATTTGCTCGTCAGCCCCTCACGGCAGGCATTGGGCAAAGCTCTGGAGCACACAGTGACCTCCCTCTCATGAGGGCATGATCATTTTGGTTGCGTGCAAACAGTGCCTGCGGGGTGTCTGCTGGCTTAGCTGGGAGGAGAGGAAGGGTCTGATGAGCTCCCGAAAGCACGCAGGGGCCGTCCCCTCAGTCCCTGCTGTCTTGGCAAACCAAGACCAGCTGAAAAGGAGAGAGAGTTTGGGGTTTTTATGAATATTCCCAAACCACCTGCTGTGGTTTACTTACTGAGTCTGACCCCTTGAATTTTAATCCTAGCTATATTTTAATCTTATTGCAAAGGCAAGGATTAGAGTGACTGTTGCTTACCAGAAGAACTCTGTAATAAATGCAAATGGGAAGCGGTAAATCAAGTTTATTTTTATTATTATTTTTTTAATTCCCTTTTCCATCAGATCTAGTACTTGCATGCAATTCATCCTTACGGACCATTACGATTTCCCTATGCTTTACCATGTTATGACGTTGCTTCCCAGTTCCTTTTGACAAAACAGAGTACTGACAAATTTTGTACAGCTGCACTTTGTAGGTGAAATCAACTCATGTGACAATAGATTTTAGTCTGTTCCAAATCCAGGCTTTGGGACTACAGGTTTTTAATTTTGTGGATTGTGAGCATCAGTGGGACTTCCATGTTCACAAGGAATTGAGAATTGTGCAAAAAAGTTTTTTTTAACCTTTCTTATAGTTAAAAATATTTCCCTCAGAAATGCACCTCTGTATTTAATCTGAGTTTCCATCTGCTAGTCACTGTCTCAGAGTCAATCAGACAAGGGCTGAAGGGAAAGTGAGCCGTTACATAAAAATAACAGAAAATTCATCCTTTCCAGTAGGTTCCCCCTTGTATAGAAATTCACACTACAGGAGATGGTGGTAGTTGTGACAGCACCAGAGGAAAATACCCAGGTGGACTCTTTGTGGAAGCAGGTCAGGTATGAATGACTTGTCCTGGAAGTGCCAAACTGATGCTAAGGTGGGAGTAGTGGGGGGAAACAGTACAATGAGGTGGTGGAAAAAATGAATTATAGTCTGAATGCACCCTGGTGCTGACTTTTAAGATCATATGGCCTTATCGGGGATTGCACGCTCCCTGATCCTTCCTGCTGCAATATGTAAATGCTACCAGATAATGTTGTCTTGATGTGTCCCCATCCATGTCTACCTAAAAGGATTAATCTGATCTTTTCAGCAGCTCATTCTATTTTTCTTTCAAAATAAGCGTACGTGGCTAAACTATATGTAATTTTTTACTTTAAGGAAATCACTTTTTTGTCACCCATATATCTAACAGAAGAGGGGAAGTTTATTTGCTTTTATTATTTTATTTTATCATGGTTACTACCGTGCTTGCTGAGTGATTTCGTGCTACTATCTCTGTTAGCATCCGAGTTCATTTATGAATGCCTTTTTTTTTTTAACAGAACAATACATTTTATGTTATTTTCATTATGGGCTTAACTTGCACGGTGTTGCTGCTCACAGAGTCCAAGGGCACTTTAAGCTTTGGCACAACCCATTCCCCCAGCCCAGGCTGCCCAAAGCCCCCAGCCTGGCCTTGGGCGCTGCCAGGGATGGGGCACCCACAGCTCCTCAGGACAGCCTGGGCAGGGCATCACCACCTTCATGTGGAAGAATTTCCTCCTTATGTCTGGTCTAAATCTATCCTCTGTTAGTTATGTATCAGTTATGAGTTTTAAAAATAAGCTTAGTTCTTCACCATTCATGTGGAGCCTTTTTTTTTTTTTTTTCCCTTAAAGTGTTTTCTGAAAGATCAATAAATTTTAAATTTTATCAGGGATTTTATGATAATAAAATATCCTATATCGGTCCTATAACTCTACCCTGGAGTCTCTCATTTACATAAAGACAATTCTCCTTAAACCTGAATATAATTAATGTCTGTTTAACAGTTTTTTACAGTGCCTGGATGTGTAGATGAGTGTTCTGCAGAGGGGATTTGCTCAGCTGCCGTCTTTTACCGCATAAAATAGGGGCAAAACCCAGAAGTGACAGCACAGCTTTGTTCCCTTGTTCTTGGTGTAGTTTATAAAAGACAAATGCCATCAAACAAGCAAACAGAAAATCACATGTGAAAGTTGTTTGGGGGAAAATTATTCTTCCCTGTAAGTGTTTCCTGTGCCGGTGTAAGAGCTGTGTTGATCCAAAAACACATGGGAACCTCCTGAGAACCCTGGGCTGTAACTGATGAGGATTCTTACTGTCAAGGAGACTTCTCAATACGTATTGATTGCTCAGTGTGGCCCATGATTACTTTTCTCTGAACCTGTAGGTTTTGGCTTGCCATTAGCTTTTACAAGCAGCCCTTTATTGGGGCCGAGGTGTGCATTAACTCCAGCGCCTGCCCCAGGCAGCTCCGGAGCTTCCACTTCACCTCGGGCTGCTGCTCGCAACCCTCCCTGCTCCGGGAGGCCTCGGGGCAGATTTGTCCGGATTGCCATGAAGATAGAAGCAGCCTCAAGAATGAGGAGTTTTAATACTTTAATTAAAGGTTTCAGATTCACCCGAGCAATTTTAAACGATGGGCTTTTTTTAAATTACATGGGCTGGCCCCTCAGGTTCCCCTTGTAATCCTGGCCGGACCCACGGCCTTCCTTTACATCTCTGTTTCACACTTCTGTTTCTGTAATGAGATAATTAAACATCTCATGGCTTGTTAAGATACGAGACATGAAAGGGAGTTTTGAAGCTAGTGGTTCGGGATGGCAAGCCAGGTAATCGTAGCTTCTCACTACCCTATAGAACATTACGGGAGAGATTTTGTGCTTTTTTAGAGTAAGAAATGGTTCAGAAAATCATGCTTATTAAGAACAGCATGTGCTTAATTTAATTCCTACTGAGGCGGTTAGATTTCAATATATAAAGTCAAGGAGCTGCTTTAAGTGCTTCCATGACTGGGCTTTTATCTGGAATAGGTGCACTGGAGAGGTTGCAGAGCTGGAGCCCATGAGATGCTCCCAGAAGAAAGCTTTAACGCAGCTTGAATCCACACAGGTGAGCAGGACACGACACCAGCACCAGTCACCTCCAC